AGGGACGTACAATAGTCTATTAGTGCATGGGAAAACCCATAATAATAATTTGATTCATAACAATTAATATAAACAAATGAGAGAAATGTATCTCTAGAGTTGCACGAGCAAACTGTGGCACCTGCCGCACGGCCGACCATGCTGCACGGTGTTACTCCAAACAAGAAGTCTAATTACACAATTACATGATCCACAATTCGAATTCAAGCCTGCGCATTCTTTACCTTCACCTGGTGTCGTCACGTGGAACCTAGAGTGATCAACACAACAGCACTGACGTTTTCCTCTTTCTGTAAAAAGTGCAATATTCAACGCATCTCAACAACCTCATTTACAAGCGCAGAGAATGCTGGTCATTCGACTCCATCTAATGTAGACACTGTTAATACTTGACATTCACCTGCACGTCTCCATATGTCTTCAAGCTGTAATGCTTAAGTGTAGTGATATGTTTTTTTTTCTTGGCACTACAGCCCCACTGGGCCTAGGCCTACCTCCATGAACACCGTTCACTTCGGTTTTTCTCAATCTTACACATACGGTAGGACTCTTTGGGCGGGTGATCAGCTCGTCGCAAGGCCTCTACCTGTAGACAAACACAGAAAAACGCACACAAACATCCATGCCCTGAGTGGGATTCGAACCCACGATCCTGGCTTCCGAGGGAGCGAAGACAGTGCATGCCTTAGACCGCTCGGCTACCGTGACCGGCAGTGATATGTTTACCTCTCGTATTATTATTATCATTATTAGAAATAATAATAAATTTTACTATTATTAAGCGCCTGAGACCATCTAAATCTGTTTGAGTTTATGATATCCCTGACTTTATTATTAAGGTATGTGTTTATATATTTTCTTCCTGTTCTTAAACGTATCTTTAATCTAAGCTTATCTCAGCAGTATTTTCCTACACTATGGAAACNCGAACAGAGTAGGTGTTTCCCTTTTCCTTCACCTGAGGACGGAAACAGATCCAGTTTCCGAAACGTCGTGTTTATTTGTTATCTTAAAAACCAGGACGATGGATAAAGTCCAAAATCCCAACATATCAGTGTGTTATACACCATCGTCAGAATCCTATAGTAAGAACTATTCCTGTTTTGAAAAATAGGCTACAGCGCTTCTGTTAGCAATTACAGACCAATATCTTTGTTAATTTTTCCAGATTATTTGAATTTGTTCAGGGCACGCGGTAGGGTGGTTGATTGAGGCACTATGCCACAAGCCGGAAGGTCGCAGTTCGTGTACCGATGAGGTGGATTTTTTCAATTTACCTAATCGTTCCAGCCGCACTATGGCCCTGGGGTCGACACAGCCTCTAACAGAAATGAGTACCACGAATCTTCCTGTGGAGGTAATAGGCGGCCGGTACGTAAGGCTGACAAACTTACGGCCATCAATGAGCAGATTTTCTAGAAAAAATATGGAAGCCTCGACGTCTCACCGGCATATTGGCTTTCTCGGCCTGTTATAGGGATACCTTTGTTTGAATTTGTTATTCATGATCATGTTGCGGATTATCTGAAGTTTAAAATTAGCTCTTATCAGATGGCTTCTATAAAATAAATCTGTCCATAACCCTCCATAATGCGGACGGACTCTATTCAAGACCTGAGAATATTTATTAACACTGAACTTCAATTTCATAACCACACCAACCATGTTCTTCCACATTGTTTTAATCTGTTAGGTCTAGTTCTTGGCATTGCATTGCATTTCCAACTCTTGAATTTATACGCAGGTTATGTATTACGTTAATTAGATCTAAGCTTGAACACGCGTCCTTGTCTGGAATTCAATTACGTCAACCGATGCCAGCAAACTAGAATGTATCCAGCAGAGATTAGCGGCCCTCTCTTTTAATCGTTTCTTCCAAGTGCATTACTACGTACTTTTCTCTCGCTTTGGAGGCGCTAAAATTGCATAACTTTCAGAAGACATTGTCTCAATGCACTCTTTCTTATTCAGATTTATCTTGGTTCTAAATTCTGTCCTTCTATTTTGGAAATTGTTGATCTCCGAGTTCCTGCTCCGTACATCAGAGACGTTGCATTGTCCAATGTCTGCTCCTCATGTAAAAATTCTCCCTGCTAGATGTGCATCAGCTGCTAATGTTGCCTTCTAGGGCGCTGACGTATTCGGAACTAAGAACATTCTCCTTTATCATATTTCGTAATATGTTATAATTGATATAATTATTATTATTACATGCATATGTGTATATATGTACATATGAATATTATTCTTTCTCTCCGCATCATGGTATAACCATTGCAAATGTATTAATTTCACTGTTCTCACCTGTTAATGATAACTGTGAATTTCATGGAATTATTATTATTATTATTATTATTATATAAAGTGTCTTATTTTATATTTTGTAAGTTTTTTTATTGTTTCTTTCTATGTACTAGTGCCAACTTTATACTCGTGATTGATCTCCGGACTGTTAAGTTTGCACATAATTAAGTAAGAATTGAATTGAATTTAAATAATTTTGTTGTTATTGTCATTATAGGGCCGCACCATAGCTCAAGCGGTTAGTCGCTGGCTTCCCGCCGCCGCGGCCCGGGTTCGATCTCGGGTCTGGTCAAGTGGGATTTGTGGTGAATAAAGTGGCGCTGGGACAGGTTTTCTCCTAGTACTTCGGTTTCCCCTGCCAATCTTCATTCCACCAATTGCTCCACAATCACCCTCACCTATCATCTGGGGCTGGTACAATAGGCCAGAAGTGGCCGCAGTACAAGGGACTTAGTCCCACCTCACTACCAATAAAAAAAAATAATATTGTCATTATATAATATGGCTACCCACAGCCACTTCACAAGCTAAGGCACATGTGTTCTTTGTTTGCTGGAACACCGAGATCGGGATTTCGAATTATCTCTGAGGCATAGCTGTATGTTTAAAATTTCATATGTTGTGTTGTGTTGTGTTGTGTTGTGTTGTGTTGTGTTCTTTGTATGTAGGTTTCTTGCGGTATGTCGACATGTCGTCAAAGAAGTCTTAGAAAAATCACTGTTTCAGAAACAACATCGAACCTGAAGAGGACAGTAGGCTTAATTCATGAGGGTCTGAGAAAAAAAAACCTTTAGCCTGATTGCAGTCATCTAAAGAGAGCTGTGATATTTCACTCAGTAAAATGAAAGATCGTGAACTGAGCGCTTGGAATTTGATTCCAGACAGACGTATTGGGACTTTTCTCCATGATTCCGAATGACAAAAGTTCTATCCACTGAACACTGAACATACGCTTTTCCTGGAAATAATAAAGGTTAAAAGGTTAATTTGGTTATTCATCTTCATGTAATTCCAAGGTCAAAAACAAATCCTTAGACATGGTCCCTCTACATGTCTTCATAGCACTTCAGAATGAATATTTAATTGTATTATTTTACATTATTTACAGAATTTATTTTATGTTATACAAATGTCATTTGAAACACCTAAGCACAAGATTTTGAGTAAAAGTAATTTTATACTTCTCTTAGCTTCATGCCATGATATTTCCTCCACACATAACACTAACTTAAGAGATCAATCCGCTTTTGCTCTAGGATACTTATTTGTGACACAAGCGGCCTCTGTAGTCTAGGGGTAACGTTCCCACCTCATGACTCAAGGTAGGCGGGTTCAAACCCGGCGGAAAAATTCAGGGAACAAGTCTTCTGGGAGGGACTTTAAGCCGTGGGTCCCGTGTCGTAGATTTACGGCACGTAAAAATCCTCATGTCTCTAGGAGACCTCTGAGCAAAATTATTAGGCAACAATTTCCCTCCCAAGTAGTTTCCAATGCCTCTGATAGATGGGGGAAATATCAGGTACCGACGGCCGACCTTGTCGGCTGAACGGAGCAAATAGGACGCACCAGTATCGGTAGGGTATGGCGACAGTAGAAATTAAAGGGGGACGCACAATGGACCAATAACGGGTCTAAGTGCATGGGGAAACCCACCCCCTCTAATAATAATAATAATAATACTTGTGACACATGTTTCCGGTTGATTTTGAAACTATCCTAATGAATTAATATTTAATATTCAAAATTAATTACAGAAATACGGACCGGATCTTGAGCCGTACCTTACTATGTTAAAAAAACGCCACGTAGGTTACTCGACTTATGAACTAGGCCACTTACTTAGCGTGTTATATTGTCTCCAAATTAAGCTTAAGTATTTTCACCTGTTAAGTTCAATGAACGGCATGTTCAGTCTAGTTCAAATACTGGGATAATCAGTTTTAAATCCTGTACAGGGCATGAATGCATGTCCAAGCATAGGTCCTGAGATTGAACGATCCCTCATCTAAGAACCCCTAACGAATATTTAATAAATTAAATGAAATAGAAAGCTCTACATTTAATTAGAAACTGGTTTAGGCAGGAAGTTATTTAATTACACGCATTTATTTCCAACCATAAACGGTTTACAGCAAAACTAATCGAAGACACTTTTCAGCCTGCCCGTCTGTATTTGACAAAGATCCAGTATAAATTTTCTTGGACTATTAAATTCGCTGTGTTTTTTCCTCAGTCTCTAAAGGGGAATACTTGGAAAATGTCGTTAATAGGCTCTATCCTTCTTCTCATATCCTTACGTACGCAGGATTCATCGTCATATTTCCATGTATTTTGAGCCTATATTAATGGGTTATTGGATTAATGGATAAATAATGGATAATAGAAGCTTACAAATATTTCGTATTTTCCTCAGATTCTCCAAAAAAAATGCCAGCGTCGAGTTTTAAAATAATCCAAAACAGAATTATTCTACGTCCTTTCCAATTTATAATCATCTTGCAATCCGACTGTACATAACACTCGGTTTGTAGTATCAATAAATAAACAAACAACCAGTCACTAATACGTACACAAAGAGAATGTGACGTAAGATATGCCCCAGAAGATTTTTCCCAACACATTTCCACTATTAGTCTGAAAAAAAAAAGGAAAAGAGATTATTCTGTAATCAAACAGACTTTCCACGCAGTACTTACCACGAACACTCTCATGGCTTCGTCTGAAGGAGCACCACTGTACCCTAATTTAAACCTTGGAACACTTGGCTTCTTGTTTTCACTGGACTACGAATGCTTCTGCCTTTCTCCTGCGCTCCCCTTTATATAAGGAGTCACTATTACACCATAGTATATCAGTGAGAGTACTGATAGTGGGGATGAACCCCCCTCCGGGGTCTAGCCCTCGTTCCTGGGGCAGACACTTGATGTTCGGGACATGAGTGAGAGTGTAAACCCTTGACAATCCAAATTATGAAAGGAACACTTCTCCCACCACGTAAGCACTTCTTGTTTGACAGCGAATATACTCTTCATATACAATATATGCCACTAACCGCCATCCAATTCTCGCACTGATTGCAACATATTTACATTTTTTTTTCGAAAAAGAAAAAAGTAGAAGTTGTTTGGAAGTAATTCGACGATACAAGTTTCTGATAAATTACGGGTCACTTTTACTATCTCCGCTGATATTCTTGACGACACGGTAGGGCACGCGGTGAAAGGAGCTAGTAGATCAGCTTACGGTCTCACGCAACGAGAGGTCACAGGGTCAGCCTCTCAATCCTGTGGACCCAGCCGAGCATCGCTACAGTTTTACGGACCAGGATGACACTTGGAAACCTTCATAGTGTGCATCCTGTTGTGTGTTCCAAACATAAATATGGTAGTTATGTTAAACCGACACCAGAACAAATGTATACTCACTTTTAATGTTTACAATTAAACCTTTATTTTGCTACATGTTCCGGTAGCATAGGACCATCATCAGGCAGTTAATACAGCAATACCTCTAGTCATTGAATTAGTAATATGGATCCATATTAGTACAACGTGTCATATGATAACAGAATTTTTTCCTCATGTTGGTAATAAGTATTACAATTAATACTTGGAAATCTTTCTGATCACACCAAAATTCCACGTCCAAATTTAAGGGGGAGTGACGGGGCGGCCGCCTCAGGACTTCCACAGAAAAGAAACAGAATTCACCGATTTTGAGATATTCGCTACTCTAAAACTACACGAAACGTTGGTTTTTAATTTTAAGTGATTATAAGAAACAAGAACAGAAAGAGAATTGTCGTAACTTAAATTTGCTGTTACTGATAGATGTCTCTGCATTGGATTGCTCCAGGATCCCCGCATCTTCCCCTGGCCTACAGTGGTCACATCTTTCTCTCTGTGCTGTAAGAAAGCAACGTATTACAGAGAAGATGAAAAGCAAATAGATGTAGATGCAATATTGATAGGTTTTCTTCAAATAAAATCATCAAGAAATCTACCCATTGCTGATTTTTTCCTTTCGGCCCTACAGCCCCAATTTCTACCTTGGCATACCTCCGTGATACTCTCCGTTTCACTTCGGTTTACTAGATCTTAGACATTCGGTATGACTCCTTGGGCAGGTGAGCAGATCGTCACAAGGCCTCTAACTGTACACAAGCACAGAGAAACGCGAAACACACACAAGCACTCAACATCCATGCCCTGAGTGGGATTCGAACCTACGATCCGGATTCCGAGCGAGCAAAGACAGTGCATTCCTTAGACCGCATGGCTACCGTGACCGGCACCCATTGCTGATTACTTCAGAATAAAACTGTTAACTATAGACAGGCATTAAATCTTCTTCTTACAACTCGTGTAACAATCAGATGTTACGGCCGTGTGGTTAGGGTCATGTTTCGTATTCAGGAAATCCCAATTTCGAGTTTTGGCATGCAGACTGGCCATTCCAACAGACTTTTTGTGGTTCTCACTAGCCCTTCAAGCGAAGGTTGGGCTTGTACTTCAAAAACTCCACGGCCGCTTTCTTGATCATACTTATCAATATACCATTCTAAAACTCGACATGAATGTTCTTAGCAAATGCGAATCATGAATAATCAGCCTTTTACAAATAATCAGACTGAAATATTGTTCAGTAATTTAATTTACTCGCATTTATTTATAATAAAATTAACAACCACGCGAGTAGATGAGGCTGTACAACAACAGGTTGGTAGTGAATAGTTTCTTG